AGAAACAGGATTACAAAATGCATGACAAAAACGGACGTAGCAGGGCGTGTCTACAAGGCTAATTCAAACTCAGAGGCTTGCGACAGCCTCCTGACCCATCACAACCATGGCACCACACATGTCCGTGAAGGCAAAGTAAATTTTCCATACTGCCTAGCCAAAAGGTTTCTGGCAAACAACCAATTTCTGTACAGGCATGTTAACAATCATCACAAAGTAAGGCATTGCATCGCTCCACTTTTCACGACAGAATGAAGGGTACAAAGCACCGACGAAGCAGCTAATGCTCTGTGGCTAAAATATGCCCCGAGATTGGATTTCACAATCTATCTCTTTTACATACCGTCAAGCACATTACCGACTACATGGTTTACCCATGTAACTTTCAACCTAGCAAGTGTGCTAAGGAAGTCACTCTCATTGCCCGATCATAGCTCTCCTGGAGCAGAAAAGATCCGCACGAAAGCATTGAAGGCTGCGGCCACCAAGGTAGCTGCGCTCCTATCACAGTTCTTCCGAAGATGCTTCGAGGAAAGGAAAGTCCCACTATGTGGAAGTATGGCATTATTATCCTAATTCTTAAAGGCGATATCCGTTCAGATCCTGCAAACTATCGCCCAGTGACTCTCCTCTCTGGGCTCGCAAAGTTGATGGAAGCGGTCGTCGCTGAGGATCTACTAATCTGCCTGGAAAAATGCAACGTCTTGGCACTGGAGCGGCATAGCTTCCGTGCATCACCAACCTGCTGATGGCACCGGTTATTTGGACGGAAGTTGCAGATCGTGAGGTCGGATCGACGTCATGTATCTGGACTTTTCCAAAGCTAAATACTGCCTGGAAAATTGCATCCTACTTCATAGGTTACAAAACTATGAAATCGAAGATGCTGCTCTTGGTTTCATGGCAAACTTTCTTCACCAACGGTGGCTTCAAGTGTGTTTTATGGGAACACTCCTAAACCCGATTGAGGAGGAATGTAGTGTTCCAGAGGCCCAGGGGCTGAGACCGCACGTATTCTTATTGTTTATCAACGACCTGGTAAGGGTTATCTCCTTCCGTTTCCTGCTTTTCGCCGATGATGTCAAAAGATGCCAAGCGATTAATAACAATGAAGATCACAATCCACTCCAACCTGATCTAGATTGCATTTATGATTGGTCAACGAGAAACAAACTCTAGTCGAATGCAGCTAAAAGCAACTTGATTCACCTGCGTCACCAGCGGAAGAGCCTTAACTATCCTGGAGACCACACTTTGCAGAAGGCCACTCAGGAGCGTGCACTGAGTGTACTAGTACGGGACAATATCTCATGTTCAAAAACAATCAGAAGAAGCGTTGAGAACCGGCAACCAACGCTTTGGCCTTCTTTGCAGTGCGTCCGGCCGGTTTGACCCTTCAATCTTCCCACAAATGCTTAACGCTTAGGTACAACCGCACTTGGCATACGTCATCCAAGAATGGCACCCGTGGCAGAAACAGGATCTCGTTGCTCTCAAGACTCTTCAACAAAGAGCAAACAAGATAAGCAGGAACCTCTTTCGTCTGTCTTAACAGCTAAGATGTAAGTCTCTAGGAATGTACAGTAGTGGATGGCGGCATTTTCGGGGGGACCACATAAGGTTTTACCAAATGCTGATGAACCCAAGGCATATTTGCTGCCAGCTGCTGGAACGTAACCACAGCACCAATCTAAGGGGTAAATCCTCTGAAAATGAGAACATAGTATAGCTGGCTAGAATGCCGTAGTAATTTCTTTCCCTTCTGAGTGTGTCAGACGTGGAACACCCCCAAATTATGTCACCTCTGCCCCAAAATTAGCAATATTATAAAACGACATAATCAAGCGTTATCCCATTGGCATTTCATTGTATAATCCATGTTAACCACTGGCTACAAAACGCAACCAAACGGTGTGTTTCCACAACTACAGTCATAGAGTTATGGATTTATGCCTTTATCACGCGAACATCTCAGCCTTTCTGCAGATGTGTGTGGTGACTCCACCGTGACACTTTTCACTTTATTATGAATTTTTATTCTCTCCATAATTTCTCTCCCACGTAACGTGTTAAGCATTGTTTTTTTACCCGTAATACACCATTGCTCCACTGTATGCTGTATAGATGTCTGGAAGCGGCAAAATTTGTAGCCGAGCTGCGATATTCTGGTGAAGTTGGTGACCATGACCACCTCCCTCTATCCTAAGCATTAAATTCCCAAATGACAGCGGCCAGTGGCTATTTTTAGTACTCAAGCAGCGCCGTTTGTTTGCATACTTCGATACCAAGCAGAAAATTGTAGTTAGTTATCTGTCCTTCTAAGCTTCTTTCCGCCTTCTTTATTACCAGACATCATAGCTATGCATACATTCATGGAAGGATCATCATGTTAAGTCTATCGCTTCTATCGTACTACTTAATACCCCTCTCATTGCCTTATTGTGTAAAATGAGGTGCACCGACAACGGACTAAGTAGATGGTTTCAGCACCAAGTATGTGCATTAACGACTCAATAGCTGAGTCAGAACAGAGTGAATTGTTCACAAAAACTGAGGTTGTCTCCAACTTCTGGTAGTCCCATTGACCGACTATTATTTAAGTGGGGCTGACCAGTCATGCTTATCACGTCCAACCTTTCCCAACTGTTATTTCTGTTGGGTAACTACATCAACCACTAATTCTAGAAAGCTACAGTCTACTACTGCGCAACCAAGAAACCCGGTCTCCAACATGCTAGTGGGCAAAATGGTGCGTGGTTACTTGTTAGGACTCTCACATCAGTGATTGTGTCGTTTTTGATAGCGAGATGTTCGATTAGGAACACTCCACATGGAAAGCCGTCTAAATAGGTAAGTAGCCAGGTGAATCAGTATGCAACTGGAGCGGCAATTTATATCCTACTAACAGACTTGCTACGAAGGAATATTTCAGTCTTATATGCAGGAAGAACAATACATGCAACGCCACTGCATCTAAAGAAACTCCTGCCCACGGATTGAACAAACTTAAGTGTAAAGACAATGTACATGTATACATAGGCCAGATTACAATAGACCTGCACACATGGAATTAACACAAAAAGTGGATTTTGCGGCAACTAGTTGAACGAGTTTGACTGTAGTACATTACTTAGGGGCTCTGCGGTTGAGGTGTATGTGTCCGATACCGGGCCCCAAATCAATATGTATAACGTCGAGGTCACTAGGAGGTGGTTACTGTCAGCTTACCAGAGACTGATAATGAAAGCATTAAAAGTTCCTGTTCCGAAAGCTGCATAAAATATAGTGGAGGCAGAACCCTTAGTTGCTTGACGGATGATCCCAATCCGACCGGTCTGACGGGCACAGATGCGCGAATCAGGTTGGAAAGCAAAACTCGTTTCCCCATCGTCACCATTTAGGCTTGTTCGCCAATACCATGATGTACAAGGGAACAACCGGACTATTCCCAATGTGGTTGAACCACTTAAGTTGACATCCCGATCTGCGACTGCAATAAGCACTTGATTCATGTCTGCTATAGCGATTATCGTTCTTGTTTGTTGTTAAATGCCGCTGCAAATGAAAGCCGATTTAGCTGGCCTTACGAAACTATTGTGGTAGAAATGAAAATTCGCCAACAAATACACCCATCGATTGTTTCCCAACCTCCCTAAACTCATGCCCTCACAATCGGTCGCAAGTACATTCCACGATTCTGAAGTAAATAGTCTATTATTCATTGATCGTCCACCTTATTGGAGCAACTCCTACGCTTGTGACATTCAAGTTACTGTGTGGAGTATGTGAGCTTTGAAGTTTTGCGTTTGATACAGGGAACTAAAATACTGACCCAGAGGTTTGGTTCTCAAACTTTGTTCCAATGCACAGAACTATGTTGCTTTCAATGTATCAAGTTAACTATTCTTCCATAATTAGTTCCTTTCTCCTCTGTAGCTTCGTACTTTATCTAAACGCCAGTTGTTTTGTACTGGAGCCTTCATCGCCATTCCAAAAGCCCACAATCTTAGAAAGAATCCGTGAATACCAAAATAGTTGCCAGTATTGAATTAAGATGAGGGAGCATCTTCTTTTATGACAGCATTGAGAGACTGTGGCTGGATAAAGCAAATATTTTTCTTTGCTGTGCAGCGGGTTGTAGCCGTTAACCAGTGCCAGGACTTTTGATGTAAGGAAGCGCAAAGTACCCGTTGCCCACAGTGTCCCATAAAACACGAATGCTCCGACAACGATGATGCTGTCGATGAGGATGTTCTTGCTGTCTGCGATCATGCTAAAGACTGAAAGTCGAATCCATCTTAAACTAAACACCGAAAATAATCTTTAATATTTGGCCCATTCCTGGTTAGTTACACTAGTACTCACTTACTAAAATAGATACAGCCTCTGAAGTTTGTTAGTTTGTCGTTGAACTTCCGCTTTGTGTGCAGATGTATCACTTGATCCATGTATGCCACGTCGCTACAGCTATATCTGGTCCCAATATTGCTTGTGTATCCTACCGGCTGTCAGGCTTGATAAGAGCCACTCGCCAAAATACATTCAAGCTGGGAAAGAGCAGAAAGGCTAGCCTAGGAATAAACGGGGGTCAATCAAGAGGCATTCAAGTCAAAGCAGGTCGCTGGCATAAATTAAGCTACTTTGCTGTCAACTTCAGTGGCTAAAAACACCAGCCTACCCAACTGAATCAAGTAGCTGCGGAAACAACTGTATGCACTTTCTTACTTTAGGCTAATCGATTTTCCCGGTCAAGTTTCTACTGAGGCTAGTTAGTTTTTGTTATCGGCCTTTAACACTTCCGTTAAAATCATCGTCGCGCTGTACCGCAATGACAGGGCATTTAGCAATCTCTTATACTAGTTAACTGTATCCTTAACGCCAACCGGTAAGTCTGGTAACGAGCTTTAAGAGCTATTCACAGTACGTGAATTGCACTTGTCGTGTGCGGAATACAGTCAGTTGTGTGTAAGTAGCTTAACTCAGCCGCACATGGGACTCACCTGGGCAGCAAAAATACATGAACTCAAACAGGGATACACTTCGAAGCACAGCATATCTTCACGTTGATATCGTTCTTGGCACGTCTTGCTATTCTGACAACTGTAGCCTTTAATTGGACCGCATCGGTGAATCTCCGTAAGTGACCATCGTTTTGGACGCATGTCCGTTGTACTTCTACCCACAGAGAAACCCAGTACGAGTGGCTGTGCCACAAGTGTAAAAGTAAGCACAAGAAGAAAATCTGAAAAACAGGGTAAATCGGGGGTTGAATCTCAAAATCCTAGTAAAACAGACATCTTAAAAACAGGCGAATTGGCAGGTTTGGCTAATCCATTCGATCTTATTCTTGAGTTTAATGGTTTTACCAAGAGTATCCATGCAGGCTCTATGCAGTCACATCGAAGACATGTTAGAACGCTAGACTATCAATAACTTAACAGAGTGAACGCGGTATCTCAAATTCATTTGGTGCAGTGTGTGCCAATAAAAAAGTGTAACCTTATGTAATCTAATATTGCATTTTGTTCTTAGGAAGACAATCTGCTACCGAAACTCAGCTTCTAGCCTGAATCCGAAGATCCGCATTTTAGTTCAGTCAGGAAGCTACCATGTAGCGTTGGTGTTTAACATTAGGCCTCTAATCAGTGTGTCATTTATATTTTGGCTGATTTCATTTCGCCTTAACTATCAATGTTGTGAACTACGATAAAGACTTACGTAGAAGTACACGGTATGAACGCAAAATGATATACTCTTAGCTGCCTGACTCATGAACTTTATCGCCGGGTATAAAGTTTGCTATCTGCTTTGTCAACAAACAAATACCATGCAAAGCTCCAACAACTACTACTAAGGCTGTGTGGCTTCTGGAAAACTAGCAAGCACAGTTTGCCTCAGCACTGAGTCAGTTAAAAGAATTAGAAGCCTTAACCTGCAGTCCGGAACTTAAATATTCACCACGCTACGTTACTTTAGTGCATGCGTTGCCCAACCGGTATAAACCAGGCGGATGACCTATCGATAATTTAAATTCTGGTAAAATCTTAGTATACCCTCATCAGTGATTTGTACACAACTTTGTAAGGAGGACTATGCCCAAATTACTATACATTTATAATATCATTTCATGGACCCCCGTACGAAAGTACGGTATATGTACAAGCATTGATGATGGTTGATGAGTATACTAGCTATGTTGATAACCGTTCTGACAAGCTTTATGATACTTGTAAGCCTCCAACTTATGCATTTGCATACTGAACTATTGTGTGTTCCAATTTCATTGTACGGGTCAGTCGTAAATAGTTTTGACACATTTTCGCTTCTACTCCTTGGATATGGTTCTGGCCGCTTGGTCAATATGCCAACACATCAACGTCGAAGTGTTTTTCCCTTGTATACTCATCCGAATAAGCTCACCATGATATATCGTCGTTAGACCTCGTTGCTAGCTGGTTTATACTCAGCTTGCACAATGTAGGCATTGTTAATCAGTTTGTGATACCGTGGAGTTTATATACTTTTCCTTAAGTCCTAACGAGCCCGAGAAACATGCATGGAAATTTTGCACTACATGTTGAGTTGAGGCAATTGTTTGTATTGATTATGATGCCTATTTATGAATCTAGGGTGTTTAGTATGGATTTATCGAGTTATCACATAACAGAAAAAGCGTAAACTGGCCCTTTCTTTCTATCGGGACTTTTCGGAGTTTAGCATCCTCTCGCGCCATCAGAAACACAGAACTCAAGGTCGTTCAAAAGCGCTCCCCATAACAACTTCTAATTTATATATCCTATACAGCTGTGGTTGGTAGAAGCCGTGATTCCACAGATCAACCCTATCCTCTTCGAGGTTGCTTGTTTGTGTGGCAATAGGGGATGTTTTGCAAACATAGGGTATTTGGAATGTAGGCTATGACTGTTCATCTCTATCTCCAGTGGTCTGAATGGTGGCGGAAACCATGCATGGTCATCGGTCAGACCTCCGATGAAGTCGTGGTATGCGCACCAGTGACTAGTTCAGATGGCTTGAATCAACAGGGTAATGCTCTTCTGGATAAGTAGTAGTATCTCTGCCTTGGACACTATTGCAATGGTACTCATTAGTAGCAGGATTTTAGTTGTAAATCTGATATGGCTTTCATCCCAACAGTTCACAAGCTACATAGCAGAGCCTAGTCCGGAAAAGCGCCAGACGCGTTTCGCCCTATTGGGGCACGTCAGTGGTGCGCATTCCCTCGGTCCTCTAAGGAGGATCGAACCTATGACCGGTAGAGGCATATGCCAACTAGCCAGCAGCTTAAGCCACTGAGCCAGTAAAGTGACAGAATGACAGTGGTAGTAGTGCAGTTGTTCATAAAGATAATTAAATGACAGAGGCGGTTCTCAACACCATAATGCTAATTGGTTTAGGTGAACAGTGTTCAAACCGAGCACGCCGCAGGAAACCCAAATGAATGTCTGTACACCTGGGCTGCGTGCGCTGCATTGCTAAAACCATCTGATAGAAAAGCTATGGTATAATTCCTTTTGCGGTTGTTCCCGGAATAAAGATAACATGCAAATAGAACTCATGAGTAGCCTTTTAACTTGTTGCAATGGGTAAAGCTGGTACAGTGTGATAATCGACCCACTGATAAAGTAACTACAGTAACATTATTCATCCAAGAATAGTAACAGCACGTCACCCACCAGTTAAGACGTGTGACACTTTAAGACAGTAATTTGTGGAGCACTTGAAGGTAAACGTTTCTGAAAGAGCAGTATGTTGTGTTCAGCAAAGCTAATCAAGTCACGGTGTGCAAAAGCAGTCACTGTTCCTACAGCCTGCGCACGGATGCTAATATTGTGACGAGGTTTCTACTGATGGCATTGATGTAAATGATGATTTATCAAGAGTGATTGGGGCAATGTGTCTTGATTCTATCAAATTAAATATCTCTTTTGTCCTCCTATTGTTTCATCCAGGCACACCAATCAGTCATATTATCGCCAAAAATATTTAACTTATTTGAGCGCAACTACTCAATTTTTGAAAGTAGCTAATCTGTCTTATCATTAGACGTTTCGTTTCGGAAACTGTGTACATATACTACTGTCCAGCCATACTCTGGCACCACGTTCATAACAGACTGTGACATAAGCATCGTAACTAGGTTACAGCCCCATGAATTTGCTGTTGCTCAGTGTTGTGTAAATCTGAAGCTGTCTTGAGTTATGTTCCACAATTTCGTGACTGCTCGAACCTCAACCCCCATAGAATACGATTATCACCCGGTGACATAGGTGGTTAAAGGTTGCTGGCGTTGGGCTTGTCGCTTTGGTTATTGTTGTTGTTGTTGATGATGATGATGATGATGGTGGTGGTGGTGGTGGTGGTTGTGGTGTGCAATATACCGATATGGCAACAGACTGAAAGAGAGTGAAAGTCTGAAAAATGAAATTTTGAGCAGCCCTGTGTTGCAGTTCTATTCGTTCCTAAAGTGCCGCCAGATTAGGGGTAGATAATTCACACGGAAGCCGTTGTCCCACATCAGGTTACGGCTGACCTATTAACTACTGTCACTGTCAACATTAGAAAGCTTGTCCACGATACGTTTATGCTCGCATTACGAAAGGAGTAAAAAAATCCACCACAGTACCTCGGTCACGTGAGTTAACTGACCATAAATGGTTGGCGGCATCCGGTTTCGGATTTGCCTGTCACTGTGTCCAGCCACAGGACGCCTGCGCCTACAGAAGGACCATGGGGGGTTGCACTACACCACCCACAGCTCAAACCATACACTCCATATCCAGTGTACACAACATGGAATAAGACTAAGTGGCATACGAATGGGAGCCACGTTTCATCAACGGAGCCAGCCCACATACTTCCACAGGCAAACACAAGCACGTTGTATTTGGGGAATCAAGCGCACACAAGGCGGTGGCTGGACCGTAGTCCGCTCCACACGGAGTGCATGGAACCACTCTTCGAGCCTAGTCCGGCCAAAGGGACCGTGCACTCCGTCTCCCACTAGCAAGGACCAACTGTCTTCCGGAGCCAGTGTTGACAAGATAGTGGGTACTAGACAGGTAGGCACCTCGTCAACATCTGCATCAAGCGCAGCCATACCGGGAATCTCAAGCAACATCCAATCACTTGAAATGACGAGGTCAAATAAAATAAACCGAATAATACACACTAACACAATGACACAACTTGGATAAACGAGCATACCAATTAAATTGGTTGCCATCAAATCCGTGATAAGTACAAAATATCCAACAACAAACGCGATACAGTTAGCGTAAATACGCGCAGTTATCGCAAGCAACGTTTGCAAGTGAATTGAAGATTATTCAGCTAGTCAGAACAAAGCCCTTAAATTGGAATGAAGTTTATCCAGCTTAAAAAGAGCTTGTTTAAATGTAAGTTGGTTTAGCCCAACTGCGGTGGGGAAGCATCAAGAATACTACATCAGTCTCAGCCTGGGACACAAAATGGCCATACCAGCATGTAACTGGGAAGTTGCTTTGGATCAGTGCAAGTTGGCAAATGGGAAGTAGCTTTCTATTTGCATGGTTCTATGATAAAACGTGCCAATCTGCTGGTGGCGAACTTCTGATTTTTTAAGCTTGTTCTGATAAAAGCGGTGATGGTGTTAGGCAATGGCATTGACATTTTTGGAAGTTTTCTTGATGGGTTGAAAGTTTTATGATATTTTTTGTCAGTTGACCATTTTTATAAGCCAATGGTTTAATGTTTGAAGCTCGATAAAGGACGTATATAAAGAGTTATTTTTTAAAATCTCGCCATGCAAATGCAACAACCAGTTAAAACAATACAACTCATAAAGCAAATTTTCATATTCTAACCACAAAATTGTCCCGAGATTTCGATCCCTGCTGGCAGCTGGATGCTCACTGGTTTCCTACAAATGTAGATGAAGGATATTGCGCTTTTAGGCGCTTGTTACATGAAACCGCCAACCTTAGATAAACCATGCTCGTCGACCAGTGCGTTTTGTCTGTGGCTGCGCAATGAACAAGCGAAAAAGAACCAAAGTGGGCCGAACGTAAAAATTCTGAGAGTATCGAATATCTTTCACCTTTCAGCGCGCGTTTTCCGATACCACTGGCAGAGCGGCATAGACAACATTTCTTTGGAGATTATTCCGGCATCATTTACATATCGAGAAAATTGCCCAGAGTGTATACTGCTTGAAAATTTGGTTAGAATCATTAGGACATCAAA